AAAGCAACGCATACAAAACAAAGCAAGGAAGAAAAAAAACAACTTTCCTCCATTTCATCAAGCATGTCGTTTGGTTACAAGTTTTTGTGCATCAATTCTTAAGATTAAGAATAACATCACTGGTTTACATTAAACAACTGAATATTTCGCTGTCATTGAGCATTATGTGTTCAAATTACAATTAATATTTTTCATACCATATTTTTCAGAGTATAAGATGTACCGGAGTATAAGATGCACCGAGACTTTGAAGAAGCAATTAAAAAAAAAATTCACTATGCAGACCTCTGAAAAATGGTCCGTTTTTTGTGAAAATGGGCCCATTTTTTGTCAAAAAAATGGCATACATAGTCTTTAGGAGGCTTGTAGAGTGCCCCTGGGGGCTGGAGGAGGGCAAAAATGAGCAAAAACAGCCAAAGTTTTGCTCATTTTTGCCCTTCCCAGCCCCAGAAGCACTCTAGAAGCCTCCTAAAGGCTATGCACAGCCATTTTTGCAAAGGGGGTGGGGTTTCAGGAGGCTAAAAATGCTGCATTCAATGTATAAGACCCTCTTTTTTGTGGGGGGGGGGAAGGTGTGTCTTATACTCCAATAAATATGGTAATTATAGAACTTCAAGCCCATATATGACTCATGGATGAATATCAGTTTAAATAACTGATGCCAAATTATCCTTGGATATTTTGAAAGCTAAGGATATATTTAATTCAAATATCATAATTGCCTCTAATTACATTTAGGATCAATTCAAAGTCATGGTTTGCTAAAGGAGATGACCCATAGAATTAACATGGATTTTTTTTTCCAAGGTCACAAGTCTTTAGACTTGCATCTTCTTTGGCATTACAACAAAGCATAAACATATGTGGGGAAATTCAGATTGATACATTTCAGAGAAAAAGCATACCGTATGTCAGAGTTTGTTGCATAACTTCAAATCCAGAAGGAGACATAGATAACTGATGCAGAAAGGTTCATTAACTTCTTTATATGTATAAGTATAGATGAATAAATGGACAATGCCAACAGGTGCTTCTTCCAAGTAAACACAAGACAGGAGAGTTACAGGCAAGCCCAAGCAGTTAGCTTCATTTCAGAAGACAAGCCCAGACAGACTGCTAGTTTACTTCTCAGAGCAGAGCTTACTTCAGCTAAGCCACTCCCAGACTTCTTATGTATGTTTCTGTTTCAATTCTCTGCACAAACTCAGATCTGTTTAAGCTTCAATTGGCTGATTTAGTTGCTATGCCTATTCAATGGCTGGCCTTGTTCCCATGTCTCTCCCAGTCATGAATATTTTAACATTGTATATATAACAGATTTCCACAGTAATATATTCCCTTCTCTCTTTCTGTGACTTCTAGGGTCAAAATGTATTTGGACTTGATATAATTGAAACACCTGAAGGAGACAAGTGGCCCCAGTTGATAGTGCAACAAATTCTTGATAGGGAGCAGAAGGACACCTATGTGATGAAGATTAAAGTGGAGGATGGTGGAAACCCTCCGAGATCCAGCACGGCCATTCTCCAAGTCACCGTCACTGATGTGAATGACAACCGTCCGGTCTTCAAGGAGAATGACATTGAAGTCAGCGTTCCTGAAAATGCACCCGTGGGCACCTCCGTTTCTCAACTTCATGCCACTGATGCCGACTTGGGATCCAACGCCCAGATTCACTTTTATTTTAGCAGCCAAATATCCAGCTTAGCCAAAAGGCTGTTTGCCATTGATAACATCACTGGTCTTATCACAGTCAAGGAGCCCTTGGACCGGGAGGAATCCCCAGTACACAAATTAACAGTTTTGGCAAGCGATGGCAGTTCCACACCCTCCAGGGCTACCGTAACAGTGAACGTCACAGACATTAACGATAACATCCCCTCCATAGATACACGGTACATTATCAATCCAGTCAACGGGACTGTGTTACTGTCCGAGAAAGCACCGCTCAATACTAAGATTGCCCTGATAACCGTAATGGATAAGGATGCTGATCTTAATGGCAAAGTTACTTGCTTCACAGACCACGATGTCCCCTTCAGGTTAAAGCCGGTGTTTGACAATCAGTTTCTCCTTGAAACAGCTACTTTCTTAGACTACGAGGCCACCAGAGAATATGCCATCAAAATAGTGGCCTCGGATTCAGGAAAACCACCCTTGAACCAATCTGCAATGCTATTGATCAAAATCAAAGATGAAAACGACAATACCCCGGTGTTCACGCAACCTGTGATCGGGCTCTCCATTCCTGAGAATAACGCTCCTGGAACCCAGCTGACCAAGATAAGTGCTACCGATGCCGACAGCGGCCGCAATGCTGAAATCAGTTACATGCTGGGATTGGATGCTCCCCCTATTTTCAACCTGGATCGCCGTACAGGGATTCTGACAGCTGTGAGAAAGCTGGATAGAGAAAAACAAGATCGCTACTCATTCACAGTGCTGGCGAAAGATAACGGCATGCCACCTTTGCAAACCAATGCCACCGTGACTGTTTCTGTCTTGGACCAAAACGACAACAGCCCCGCTTTCACACACAACGAATACAACTTCTACGTGCCAGAAAATCTACCCATGTACGGCACTGTTGGACTGATCACTGTGACAGATGCGGACTCTGGAGAAAATGCAATAGTGACCTTGTCTATATTAAATGGCAGAGATAATTTCATTATCGATCCTCTCACTGGAGTCATAAGGCCGAATATTACTTTTGACAGGGAGCAGCAAGGATCTTATACTTTTCAGGTGAAAGCGGTGGATGGGGGCAGGCTGCCACGCACCTCCACAGCTAAAGTGACTATCAATGTTGTCGATGTGAACGACAACAGACCTGTTTTCGTCACTCCTTCCACCAACTACTCCTACGACTTGGTTCCGATGTCTGCCAGTCCTGGCTCCGTAGTGACAAAAGTGTTTGCTGTGGACAATGATACTGGGATGAACGCCGAGCTGCGTTATAGCATTATTGGTGGGAATTCACGAGGGTTGTTTATGATCGATCAGTTAACTGGCAACGTCACCTTGAAGGAGAAAGTCATCTCAGCAGATCATGGGTTGCACAGACTGGTAATCAAAGTCAACGATTTAGGACAGCCTGAATCTTTATACACCATAGCACTAGTGCATTTATTTGTGAATGAAACAGTCACCAACGGATCCTACGTCCAAGAGTTGGTGCGCCGAAACATGGAAACACCGGTTGGCCAAAACGTCGGGGATGGAGACATTACCCCACAAACCAATGACTATGTCAAAATCATCATTGCCATTATCGCAGGCACCATGACAGTGATACTGGTCATTTTTGTGACAGCTCTGGTACGTTGTCGCCAAACTCCTAGGCACAAAGTGGTCCAGAAAAGCAAGCAGAGCGGCGAGTGGGTTTCCCCAAATCAAGAAAACCGTCAGATCAAGAAGAAGAAGAAGAAGAAGAAGCGGTCTCCCAAAAGCCTTCTTCTAAACTTTGTGACCATTGAAGAATCTAAGCCTGATGATCCTGGCCATGAACACATCAATGGCACCTTGGACATTCCTGTAGAGCTAGAAGAACAGACTATGGGAAAATATAACTGGGCCACGACACCAACCACTTTTAAACCTGACAGCCCAGATTTAGCAAAGCACTACAAGTCTGCCACTCCGCAGCCCACGTTTCAGATTAAACCTGAGACTCCAGTACCACCGAAGAAACACCACGTCATACAGGAACTGCCTCTGGATAACACATTTGTGGTGGGTTGTGATTCCCTCTCCAAGTGTTCTTCCAGTAGCTCGGACCCATACAGTGTCTCCGAATGCAGCTGTCAAGGAGGGTTCAAGGCTCCTGGCTCTGTCCACACCAGACAGGTAAGAACAACTTTTGCTTTACATCTTTTTTTCTTTGCTTTGTCACCCTCCCTCCTTTCTGATTTAGTTTCTTCCTTGTGTTATAAACTCTGCCCTTAGAATGTAGATAAATGATAGATGATGATCAATCGATAGATAGATAGATAGATAGATAGATAGATAGATAGATAGATAGATAGATAGATAGATAGATAGATGATAGATAGATAACTGAGAAGTAAACAGCTTGTGATTCATGAGTACTAAAAGGGGAAAAATGTAGTGACTTTTAGCTACAAGTAAAATTTGATTGCTGAATGTGTGTGTTAGGGGGTAGCTCTTGTCTGCAGATGGCAGTGTGGCACTTCTTCCTTTGCATGCATAAGAGCAGTTCTGCAAAACAAAAGAGAGGTTACAGTTTACTCCAGCTAGCAAGGTATGCTTGGGAATCTAAGAAATCCAGACTTGGTGGAACTCATGAAAGCTCTTCAGGATCACATAAATTGTTCTTAAGGCTCATGGAGTCTGGAATTGGCAATTCATTTCATTGACTTGGATCAGTTCCTCCCAGGTTTCTCAGAAGCAATCCCTATTTTATTGCCCCTTCCCTGCATTATAACTTTTAGGAATTGAGTGTCATTTTCAAGAATAGACATTTACACTGCTGTCTAGAACCCTAAAAACTAGGCGCCTGACACAATCAATGGAAGAAAACAACCCTAAAATTAATCTTGAGTGGGGTAATCACAAATCCAGCTTTTGGAAATGAGCACAGCTGTCCATTCCTACTTTTGCCTGTGAATGGGTTAAAATTGCAGCTCTGATCTGCAAGCGAGGATAAGGAAGATGTTTGTTACTTGGTAAAGATAATGCAATAAAAGCACAGTTCTAAAATGTCATTGTAGAAACTGAAACTGAGTTAAAAACATTCAGATATGAACTCGCATCATTGCAGGGAGATTGTCACTATTAAAAGAGCCAGAATCTCATTTTTACGAGGTGTAAATCTGTCGCTGGGGATTGGAACTTAGGTCATTCATGGGACATGGAGTTTCTTACCTAAAACTGCTCCAGCTAGGAATTAAGTTTTTTTGAAATTTGCTTACCTTTTTGGTTGCTTCTATTCAAGGTACCCAAATGTTGAAGGAAGTTACAACAATGGTCTTCTGAACTTTTACAATAGGATGACTGTACTTTCACACAACTAGTTATAATCTCAGTTTTATAATGTTATAAAAGGAGTCAGTTTTATTTGGAATGCAAATGGCTGCAAACCAGCATTCTAATTGCGTGGCTAAAATTTGCCTTATGCTATTAGGCTATTCTCTTAGGCATCAACGCTTAAGATGTCTCCTATAATTTGGCAACCAGGAAAATCCTAGTCCTGTACATTTTACCCTGTTTCCATGAAAATAAGACCTCCCTGGATAATAAGCCCAATCGGGCTTTTGAGGGCATGCACTAAAATAAGCGCTCCCTGAAAATATTGCAACAGAACAACAGCCATGAGGTGACCACACTCACTGCCTCCTGCACCTCAAAAATAATAAGGCCTCCCCAAAAATAAGGCCAAGTGCTTATTTCGGGGGTCAAAAGAAAAGAAAACCCTGTCTTATTTTTGGGAAAACACAGTGTATAGTTGTGCTGTCCATTCTAGTTCTTGGTAGCAAAAATATACCCTATAAACTCCCCCTGCTTTTTTAAAAAAAAACCTGCTTCTCTTACACATATTTTTCATCATTCTTGACTGTTGCATTTTCCAGTAAAGCTACAACAATTGAACCAGGAACCTTTATGTTGATTCCATTGTTTTTCTTTCTATCCTTTCTCTGCGCACAATCCCCTCTTTCCCCGGGCTTTATGTCTCAATAGTAGTAGTCTAAAAAATTCTCAAGAGGTTGAAGCGCTGTCATGTTGGTGGTAATAACTTCACTTATAAAGACATACATTCTTTCTAGATTCCTTGACTTTAGAGAAGTTCAATAAAACCAAAGGCTCAGGGAAGAGATCCCTTCGGGGGGGGGGTATTTTATAATGATGTGAAAATTGTATTTACCAAACTTTGAACCTACTGTATTTGTACAGCAGAGGGTAATGCAATAGACTGACTTATGATAAAGAAAGTAGATCTCTGGGGAGGTATATGTAGAATGAACCCATATTGGAGATGTGGTTTGTTAGGAAAAGTAATTTATTTTGCTGGCCATTGCTTTTTCCAATGAATTCTGGGAATGTGAACTATTCAGTAGAAAATGCAGCAAGTACAATATTTTCAAAACATCCTAGGATGTTGAAGTTTGTGATATATCTAATATCCTGCTAGGGCAGTTTCTGTGAATAATTGTTCTGTTGAGTGGAAACTTCTGAATCCTCCATGAACGTTCAATGCTATCTTTTAGCAATAGGAGCACAACTGCTTTCCTCTCTACTTGCTCAATTGAGTTGCTATTTATCTGATAACAAATAGTAACTGTGTTACTATTATTATTGCTTATTATTATTGCTTACTATTATTATTGCTTATTAAAGATTATTGCTGCATTCCCCCCCCCCCGTTTTCATTTGTTTTGATTTTAAGCACATAACAACCAGTTATATTTTCATGCATAGTTGATGAGGTTCTTCAATGGATCTCTTTTGTGGGGCCACTAAGGGGTGTATTATGGGAGTTTAATCGTTTATGCAACAGTAGGCAGTCCCCTGGTCTTCTGATACCCTAGTAAATTGCCAGGGAAGAGTCATGACAAAACATGTCCAAAATTAGTGAGGGAAGGATATCATCATCATCATCATCATCATCATCATCATCATCATCATCATCATCATCATCATCATCATCATCATCATCATCATCATCATTGTTATCCATCATCCCATCAGGTACCACATCCCAAAATTGTTGCCAACTATTTTAATATTTTGAGAGTGAGATAGAAAAGCAGAAACATAATCTTGCATAGCACTAAAACTTTTGAGGGATTTGGTGGGGTTTTTGGGAAGAGTATTGATAGATACCAAACTATCACCAACCTCTAATTTATTCTGGCCAATATTTAGATTTAGGAGGTGCCCCAGGGGTGAAATTCAGCAGGTTCTGGAAAACCGGTAGCGGAAATTTTGAGTAGTTTGGAGAACCAGCATATACCACCTCTGGCTGGCCCCAGAGTGGGGAGGGAATGGGGATTTTGCAGCATCCTTCTCTGGAGTGGGGAGGGAATGGAGATTTTGCAGTATCCTACCCCTGCCAGTGGTAAAAAAAAATTGAATTTCACCACTGAGGTGCCCCCACCCCCAAAAAGAATTTCAGACCAGGAAATAAGAGAATGCACAGTGTGCTAATTCAGCTAAACAAAGTGAGGAAAATAAGGCAGAATTTGAAATTGTAAACCAATCCCTGACCATCGACAATGAGCGATTTGCGTTCATTGCATTGGTCATTGCCCAAGGAAGATAGCTCCCTCTACCTAACTGTAGGACCAGGTCTCTTGGCAGCTGATATTCCATAAGCCAATATTTAAAATGATGAGGGGAGATGGGTTGGTTAAGACCAAGGCTATTCTCATGCTCTTTCTCTGTTTGCCAGCTCTGAACGTCTTCGCATCAACTGTTAAGTACCGAAGTCGTATACACAATGATGTTAAGCCAGCAAACATGGAAATATGGGCATAGCACGAGAAAAGCCCTTTGTCTTCCCTCCCTGATTGCTGAAGAATTTTATCGTCTGATCTCCAGAGGGTTTTCGAAGTGGCGTTGAACTGTTCAAGCTGCCCTGCTCAAAGGTATTCAGGGCCAGGACACTTAACAATCGGAAGGAATGCAAAGGAAAAGAAAGGGAAGAATAACAAAAACGAAAGACCAAGAGACTGTAGAACATTGTTCTATAATGTTGTTTTTATGCTGAAAGAAAAGGGAGGGTGGGGGAGAAGTGAAACTGACCACTACTCTATGTGAATGGTTATTAAAGTATGAGATACACCTTTCATTCTCTTCGGTTGCTTCCAGCCGCATTCTCTTTAATTGATCCATTCCCTTTAATTTATTTACGTTCACAATATCTGTGGTCCGTTCCTCCCATTCCTTATTCACATGGAAGAGAGAGAGAAAAGGAGCAATAACAAGTTATGCATATAGACTTGAAACAGAAACAGACATTGGTCCAATTCTTTATACTCCCTGCCTTTCTCGATAAAACGGATGGCTTTGTGTGTGCTTCACACTGGGGTTGGAGAAAAAAGGTTATTTATTTTTGGAATATTTTGTAGGAAGACAAAATGGTCGCTGTTCAGAGTAGCCAAATCCGGGGCAGTTGGATTGTTCTTTTGTTTTGATTTACAAAACTTTAGTCTATGTGAGTTCATTTCAAGACTGGTGATCTTCTTGGCATGATGAGAGAGCACTTTCTCACCCCATTCCACACATATTTGTATGAGAGGGAAAATAGACGTTTCCAATTAAAAGTTTCCAGTTAAAAGTTAATACAAGTCAAACTTTCAGGATGAGAAATTTACAATGTCGCCCACCTCCACCCCTAATCAGGAAGAGTCTGGTAGCACATTTGAATAGGTTTATAAATAAGGCATGGCCCTGGAGAGCGTATTGATTATGATCTTTCATAAACACATTGGAGACCTTGATATGATTCATGGCCTGGGTCTTTGTGTGTGTGTGTGTGGGGGGGGGGTGTCAGGAAATTAATTGGCCTGTTGATTTTGTCTGTCTGTCTCGGTTTAAGAACCAGTTTACCATCCTTCTGTGGTGGTAAAATGAGGACCCAGATTGTTGGGGGCAATAGGCTGACTCTGTAAACCGCTTAGAGAGGGCTGTAAAAGCATTGTGAAGTGGTATATAAGTCTAAGTGCTGTTGCTATTGTCCTTCCTTCCTTCCTTCCTTCCTTCCTTCCTTCCTTCCTTCCTTCCTTCCTTCCTTCCCTTCTTTTCTCCCTCCCACCCTCCTCATGGTTAGAATGCAGTAGAGCAGGCTAACTCTGCCCACTGTCAGGAGTTCGATCCTGACCGGCTCAAGGTTGACTCAGCCTTCCATCTTTCTGAGGTGGGTAAAATGTGGACCCAGATTATTGGGGGGCAAGAGGCTGACTCCGTAAATCACTTAGAGAGGGCTGTAAAAGCACTGTGAAGTGGTATATAAGTCTAAGTGCTGTTGCTATTGTCCTCCCTCCCTCCCTCCCTCCCTCCCTGTGATTAGAATGCAATAGAGCAGGCTAATTCTGCCCACTACCAGGAGTTCGATCCTGACCGACTCAAAGTCGACTCAGCCTTCCATCCTTCCGAGGTCAGTAAAATGGGTACCCAGATTGTTAGGGGAAGTATGCTGAGTCTGAAAACTGCTTAGAGGGGGCTGTAAAGCACTGTGAAGCAGTATATAAGTCTAAGTGCTATCACTATTTATCCTTGGTTAACTTTTTTTTTTAAAAAAAAAATCTTTGCTAATTTTTTAAAAAAAATATTTAATGCATTGTTAACTCCTTTGAGTTACATTCAAAAGACGGACAGGAATAGATTTCAATAAAATAAATAAATAAATAAATAAATAAATAATAAATAAATAAATTTGTTTTCGTGAGCTGTTGCTCTCATCATGTGAAGATCCTCTGAAGGTACCATCCAATTGGTTCTGATTTTTGGATAAAATGGACACTGTTCCTCCTACAAGCACAGAAAAGATAAGATGTGGGAGGAACGTAATAATATGAACTAGACCAATGTGCTTACAAAGCAGGCTATCTACCTGACATATATTGTTAATTACTTAAGGTGAAGTTAATATTTTAAAGAGAACCTACATTGGTACAATATATGCTGAATTCCAGTTCTCAAATAAATATAAATATAAATTTTAATGTGATGTATGGCTGTTAACAACAGAGGAAAAATGACTGTGAGAATTGCAAAATTACAGTAATGTTAAAATGGCTTCTATCTCAGTGAATTTTGAAGAAAACAATCCTACTTAATCTGTCCTTGTTGGTATAAGATGCAACAATTTCATTCTTTGTTGGTGTTTATCATATATTGAAAATGTGCACTGCTATGCCTGGTGCAGTTGTGTTAGTATGTTTCCTCGTCCCATCTTTCAGGCAATAAGAAATAGAATACTGTATACTTTATCTAACAAATCTTGCCTTTCTTATACAATTTAATGGGCAAATGCCCACATGGAAAAAATAAAAATAAAAACACCCGGGAGAAACAGACCTTCTACTTAAACAGAACTGATATTCTTCCTGTAGAATTTATTGGACAGAAATTCCGCAAACTTGTTCTTGTTTTCCTTTAAAACTAAAAGGAAAACTTCCCTTTTCCTTAAAGAGGAAAAAGGGGATATAAGGCTATTTTCATTTAAAACAACAACAACAAAACTATTATAGCTAGTCCTCAACTTATGACCGCAGTTGAACCCAAAATTGATGTTGTTAAGTGGACTTTGCCCCGTTTTACAACTTGACTTGCCATATTAGTGTTAAGCGAATTACTGCAGTTGTTAAGTAAATCTGGTTTGACTTTGCTTGTCAAGTATATTGTAAACTAGACTTCAGTGCAAATTCCCACCCAATATTGACTATTGAATTCTTCTGATGGGAAATGGTTACTTCACTCTCTGGTTTGTAAACTATAATCAATTATAGTTTGCAAAAGGGATCATAGGATTTACTGGGTCCATCATAAACCTGAGCCAGTCATCAGGATCTGAATGTAAATCACGTGACTAGGGAGATGATGCCACAGTCGGGAAAAAGGTCATAAGTCACTTTTCCAGTGTCGTTGTAACTTTGAACATTCACTAAGTGAACTGTCGTAAGTCGAGGACTACCTGTGTTCTAGGGGTGCTATTGGGGAAAAAAATCATTACATGGGGAAAAAGAGGATTGCGCCCCTAACTGAATTCTTTGTATTTGACTGCCACAAAAGGAAGCCTGTTTTGCACATTTTGTTACTGTATGTGTACCAGGAAAGCAGAAATACACACACACACACACACACACAAAACACACAACACAAACACAGACAGAGTTTTTATTACATGTATTCTCCACGTCTTCGTCTGGAGTTGTTAGGAACTTCATGGAAGCTTCAGACAGTGCAATGTATAGTCAACGCTAACTACTCTGTCGAATCCCTTTTCTTTTCCAACCCACACTGTTAAGAGTGCCTATCTTAAGCTTAATGCAGTCTACGTAGAGATGCTTCCTCAAGATCAGTTCTTCCTTAAAAAGAAAAAAAAATCAACTGGAAGTCCATGATGAGCATAAGAGCTTCGTATGCCCACTGGAATTCAGTACACCGGTGGTTCTCAACCTTGGTATCAGGATCTCCAGCAGGGGATGTGATGTTTCCCAGGGGTTTTGCAAAAGGCTTGAAGAAATCTTATGATTTTTTTTTGGGGGGGGGGGTATGTCCATGTCCATGGTCTTTGGCCACAAATGGTATTTAAAGGGGGAGGGGATCTACGGGAAAGAAAAGGTTGAGAATCACTTCAGTACACAATTTTCAAGGAGGATCGTGAGCTTTGGTATGTCTGAATAAAAAAAAATACTTGCACGCAATAGCCTTTATATTTAATTGAAAACTCAATATCTAATGTAACCACACTTTAAAGCCAATTTGCTGTACTCCACTTCCTCTCCTGTCCAACAGTATATTGTAAACTAGACTTTAGTGCAAATTCCCACCCAATATTGACTATTGAATTCTTCTAATGAGAAATGGTTACTTTGCCTCTCTGGTTTGTAAACTATAATAAATTATACAAAGGATACATATATATTGTCATTTATCATATCGCACAGCATATATTTAGAGGGGGCTATTGAGGGGAGGGAAAGAAGCAGGTAGGTTATTTAACCCGTTACGAGGAATCTCATCTCTTTGGTTTCACTAGGAGTGGTTTTCTCTATAATTACCGTTTATATCTTCGTATTGAACATAGGATCCTAACTGGAAGAAACATCTGGTTGCAAGGACACACCTTTTCACATGCATACAGAAGAAAGAAACAACAGCTTTCTCTCTCTCCTAATTCAATGTAGATATTTTGTTCTGGGACTTGATGTTCAATACAAGGATGATGTTTGAAACACCTTTTGCCCAGCCTCCCTGTGATGCTCCAGATGTGAGCATTTCAACTCCTAGAATTTTCAGCCATGCCCAGTTGGTCTCTGCACATCTGGATAATGCCCAGATTGGACCAGGTTCCAAGAGAGGCAGACAAATGTGTCATTCTTTGGAGTGAGATCACATGTTTTTAAGCACCAGGGAATTCCGTTCCATTTTCAAATCGGTTAGTAACGTGTTGTTTTCGCCAATGTTCTGCATGAAAATTGATGCACATTTTATTTCCAAAGTATTCTGTTGCAAAGCTTTTCCCCGCATGTACACAGTTTTCTTTAATTCACACCTGTAGTCCCCCCCCATTAACATGCACATTTTTGTATGATGATTTTTAACTGTAGAACCGCAACACGAAATTAGTGTGAAAACTGAAGGATAATTATCTTACATTATTGCTTTGGAATGTGTAAATGAGCTGAGCTTATATTAAAAATGTAAAGTAAATGAAATTCATCCCCATGAGGATCAGGTGATGGGAGGCAATCCAAATGGGCAAGTCAACAGAATATAGTATATGCTTAAAACTTTAATTTAATTACTGTGATTTTAGGAAGTGGGTAGAAAGAATAAGAAGGGCAACTGGTAGGGAGCGAGAAGCACTCTCCCAATGAAGGAGAGCTCTAGGGTGGGAAATAAGGGCTTTGACTCAACTACCATTAATTTGAACTGTTGAAGTAAGTACACTGTACAGTGTATGAATGTAGGTACATTGTACAGCTCTGTCAGGCATGAAGAGTTCAAGTTGGGTAAAGGTTGTGTCGAACTCTAGAGGGAGGTGCTCATTTCTGTTTCCTAGCTGAGAAAGCCAGCATTGTCTGAAGATGCTTCCATGGTCATGTGGCCACCATAACTATACACCCGAAGCACACGGAATGCTGTTATCTTCCCACTAAAGTGGTACCTATGTATCTATTCACATTTGCAAGCTTTTGAACTGCTAAGTGGGCAGGAGCTGGAGCAAATAACGAGAGCTCATTTCATCACACAGCTGTCAGGTCTCAAACCTGGGCTATTGGCTTTCCAGTTGACCATCTCAGCATCCTTAATCATTGATCCACCGTGCCCCCCGCCCCCTCAAATTGACTACCTTATTGCAATTCTGTCTATAATACATGAATTCCAGTTAACAAACCTTCCCACACCATCCTATCCTATGCATTTGATATCTTTGGTCTAGGGGAAAAGCTTTGCTTTAGTCTCTATCACGTTTCCTTGTGTCATTTTTTCCCCAGTCTTTGAAAATGATTGCTTCTCTCTCCTAGGATATTATCAATCTTCTTGTCCTTGGAAAAACAACACATTCTTTTGTTCTACATCTTTATACAATATGTTCATGCAAAAGTTGAAAAGCAGGGCTTGAACCTTATCTTGTGGTACCCTAAGCAGTTCAAACCATAGTTTGATTCAGGCTGATATTTGTAGCAAAGCACAATAGCTTATTTCACAAGTTGTGTTGGGTTTTTTAAATGAAAAAAAAAAAAAATCCAGGATTTGTATTATGTGTCAGCTGAGCCTATATTTCATATCACTTCAAGCAGCTAATGCTTCTTGGTGATCCAGGTGATGAACCTATGTATTCTACCTGGCTTTGAAGAAGATTGAGTTCAAAAAAGCTATCTTTCCAGCATTCGGCATCGCCTTGGTATTAAATCTGTGACTTTCCTTGTTGACTTGAGGA